ATATATATATATATATATATATATATATATATATATATAATATATATATTAGTTTCAGGTGTACAAAACAATATAATAGTTAGATGTTTAAACCCCTCATAAAGTGATAACCGCCCTTCCCCAATCTACTACCCCTCTGATATCGTATGTAGCTGTTACAATTCCATTGACTCTATTCTCTATGTTGTACTTCACATCCTGTGACTATACATATATATATTTACATATATATATATATATATATGATATTCCATATTATTCAGCTTCAGCATCAGGTGTACACTGCAGTGGTCAAGCATCTATACCATCCATGAAGTAGTCTCCCTAATAAGACAAGTGCCCATCTGACACCCTACAAAATTTTTACAACATTATTGATTATATTCCCCAAACTGTATTTCATATCTTCATGGCTATATTGTGATTACTAATTTGTACTTTTTAATGCCTTTACTTTCCCCCCCCATCTTCAACCTCCCCCCCCACTTAGCAATCCTTAGGGGTTTTTTTCCCCCTATATCTCTGAGTCTGTTTCTGTTTTGTTTTTTCATTTATTCTGTTCTTTTGATTCCACATATAAGTGAGATCATATGGTATTTGTCTTTCTCTGTCTGACTTACTTCACTTAACATTATTCTCTAGGTAAATCCATGTTGTTGCAAATGGTAAGATTTCATTCTTCTTTATGGCTGAATAATACTCCATTGTATAAATATAGTACAGTTTTTTATTGAATCATCACTAATCATTAGAGAAATGCAAATGAAAACCACAATGAGATACTACTTCATCCCAGTCAGAATGCTCATCATCATTAAATCAACAAACAAGTAATACTGGTGAAGATGTGGAGAAAGGGGAACCCTGGTGCACTGTTGGTAAGATTACAGATTGCTACTGTCACTATGGAAGGCAATTCCACTCCTGGGTAGCCATCCAAAGAAATCCAAAACACTAATTCTAAAAAAATGCATGTACCCCTGTTTACTGCAGTGCTATTCACAATAGCCAAGATAGAGGAATAACCGAAATGCCTATCGGTAGATGTCTGCATAAAGAAACTGTGGTATATTTAACCTATTTTTTAAATATTAAGTATGAAGAATAGAGTTACCTGAGTATTGTATAAATTGATAAATTGAATTTGAATATATAATGCCTCATTAAATTCTTATGGGTATCTGCTCTGAATCTTGATTTGAAATCTTACAACCTAAAGAATGTGTTTATTTTCGTTTTTTTGTTTGTTTTTCAAATTTTGGGATCCTATTTTTCAAAGATTTTATTAGTTGGAAAGCACTTATTATTTGGTTGGTTACCTCATAAGAGTCTGAAAGAAATTATCTAGATAAATATCAAAAGACCAATTAAGGTCAACATTTACAGTAGAATGTGAAACCTCTTTTTGTGCCATAGAGGAAAAACCCCTACAATGATCTCATTCTTAAGACACTAATTAAAGTCACAACAGAATATCCACATATTATCTTAATTGCTATTTCCCTTTTTCCTAATGTATATGGCACTTTCAGAAATTCTGTGTGAGTCAGGAAACATCATTTTCTCTAATGATTAAAGTCTCTAAAATAAATTTTAAAATACCAGAGAGATTGTAGCCATTTAACAACTAAAGTGAATATATATTCTCTCTACCCTCATAATAATGCCTAAATAAGGAAAAAAAATTAAAGTTATCATCAAGTGCAATCATAATTTCTCTCTTGTCTTCTTCCTTCTGCCTCTTTCTCCCTCATTTCTATTTAAGAGACTCATTCTCCTGTTGGCTGCAATGGGAATGAATTTCAGTGCCACCCTGATGGAAATTGTATTCCTGATCTGTGGCGCTGTGATGGGGAAAAAGATTGTGAAGATGGTAGTGATGAAAAAGGCTGCAACGGCACCCTACGATTGTGTGATCACAAAACCAAGTTTTCCTGCCGGAGTATAGGTAAGCAGAGCACTGAGTTTAGCTTCTTCCTTGGGTTTCTTGAATAAAGAATCCTTTCAACCCATCCCCAGTCCGCATCTCACCTTTGTAAAAAGTATTCTTGTGTTTCTAATAGGTTTGCTCACATTCAATATATAAAAACACTAATAGCTAACATTTATGAGAACTATGTATGGGCCTGTCAAAGTTAAGAATGTCCCCTGTATGCACTTATTCCATAATGCCAGTTCACAATGAAAATGCTGAGACCCAGAGAAGTTTTTAACTCACGTTAGTTAAAAAAAAAGTGCAGAGAAGTTTTACATTGTGGATTCACAGAGCTAGGCTTTGCAGAATTGTGATTTGAAACCAAGCAATCTGGATTCAGAGTCTAGAATTTCAGAGTCCAGTAAGAGGCCATGTGCTAAACCCACAGACAACATTCCCCTTTCTGTAAATAAATCCGCACCACAGAATTTAATGAATATGACTAGAAAGGAAAGACAATTGTATACATTTATTTTCAACATTTGTTTTCTCAATTTTATTGTGTTGTTGCTGATTCCATTAGGATAAAGGTGATGGCTATCATTCAAACCTTGATTTGCTTTGAGAGTATCTGGGACCTTTATTTTTTAGGAAGGTATTCTGTTCTTATGACTTTTCAATTTTATTTTCCTACATATGGTAGACACCACCTGACATGATAAACTAACTTATTTGTTTCTCTCTATACATAAGATTATGAGTTGAAAATTAGAGAAAAAATAGATTACAATTAATTATTATGCAATTAGTACAATGATCAGTGTCATTCAAATAACCCATGGAAATAATTTTCTGTAGATTTCAGGATATATTCTCGAATCATCTCAGCAATTTCTTTTTCAATGTGAAATTGCTTTTGAATTGCTTAATTATGAACTCTTAGTGATTGATTTTGTTCCCTATTAAGTATTTCTACCAAAAGATAAAACAGAAAAGCTATCACTGCTCTAATTAAGCAAATACTCTAGAAACCCATGGGCATTTAAAGATATAAAACAAAATTGGTTTTCTTTTCTTAAACACATATCCTGGTTACAATTAAGAATTCAAATAATAACTAAATTAATATAAGCTAACATGGGCATAGATAAATAAATATTTGTGAGGCCCATTCCTAGTGAAGGAGTTGTGCTTTCAAATGGATATTTTCCCAACACTATTTTTCACAATTATGTGACTTTTCAATTGTTAAATGAAAAATCTTAGTTCAGGGTTATAGCTTAGAAGAATGTGACTTTAAGTTTAGAAATTATCTTTTTGGGCCATATTATATTAGTTGGGAATTAGTAAATGAATAACTTGTTAATTAATGACTTATTGACTAAATAAACAATTTTTTATTTAATAGCTTATTGTAATGCCAAAGAGTTAATTTTTTACTCAGTTTAGCATTATTTTATGCATACATAATGCATATTTTTCCCCATGTTGCTTCTGGCATTTACTTGATTGGGCTAATGTTGAAATATATCAGACACCAGTCTTTAACTGGTATGAATAAGGAGCAGACAAAACTATAGTAAAGAAAAACATAAAGTGACATGGAAAATCCTGAGATAAAATCAACTGAATATGCTATCAAAATTTAGCAAATATACAGGTAAAACATAAAGCCAGGCAGAAATTTTGTTATGAAGAAATTATAAATACCTTCATAGCACAGAAAGTTTGAAAAGCTATGTTAATAAAAACTGGTTTGAGCTTTCTATGACAAAGTATGCAGAGAAAACATATAAATAATAAATAACAGGGTTAATTAAGTTAAAAGAAAATTTCAAGTGCTTGTAATTTATCTTGTATGTGTGTATTGATATTTTGCAAAGAACTCATGAAACAGCTCCTCTGAATATGGCTGATCTTCAAAACAAATCTAAAATATGGTGAGATAGCTGATATAGGGAGGGAAAAAAAAAAAAAAGGCTTTTTCTTTTACCCATCTTAGATTCATTATTGGCTGGGTCCCTGGAAATTAGACTGACAAAAGACAGCTTAACAAGAAAACAAACAAACAAAAACATGTTTATTGACACATGTGTCATGCATGTAAATGGGCTAACTCAGCAATGAATAACTCCCAAGGGCACTTGGGCTTCTAGAGCATCTTAACAAAGAAGAGTAAATTTGCAGAGAAGACAAAGGAAAAGGACTGTGTTTCTAGGGGTGGCAGATTGTAGGAAGGTAAATAGATGAGAAAAAAGATGGACGATAAGGGCTAGTTAATAAAGTTTGTGAGGTCTGTCTCAGCGCTGACTTTATGTCTTCTTCATGGCCATAAAATGTCCCTGGGAAAGAGGTTCGTGACATTCCTCATTTCTCAGAAGTTTATGATTCTAGTTAGGTAGGGGAAACTTCAGGAAGGCTCCTTTCTATATGTTTTAAATCTCAGAAGCCTTCAGCTTAAAATAATTCTTATGTGAAAGTAGCATATTTTGGAGATAGCATATTTTGATCGCATATACTGACTATTTTTGGATAATTGGATTCTGAGAGACACTTCTAAGTGTGTGTTCACTTAGGATTTAGATTATCTGTTTAATAATGTTATTAAAAAACATCAGATGTTTGTATCCAATAGTCATCATGTAAACCAAAATTTAACGTAAAAAAGCAGAATGCAATAAAACTCATGGAATTTTTGAAGGGAAAGGTGATATAACATGGTGATTGTCATTAATAATACTGTATTATATAACTGAAATTTACTACAAAAGTAGAATTTTAGTTTCCTCATAGAAAAATAAATAATAAAAAATAAATAAAAATGTAGGTAAACATGAAAGTTAATGGTTTAACCATAATCTGCTTCTAATTTAATCTGTGATTTAAGTACAGTGAACAACATATCAAACTATCTGATGAGTCATAACTCACAATTATGTATGCATATTTATGGTAGTCCTTTATGAATACTGCGGACTTTAAAGTGAACAAAATATAAGCACTGGATTAAAAATATGTGCACATCTCTAATCTCTTTGATATTTTAAATTTTACTTTAATTAAATTCTCAGTTTTACAAGCTAAAAGACTTAAACTACCCAGGATACTGAATTCAGAGCACATATTCATTTTCAAATATCTCTAAATGCTAGCTTGAGCATTTAAAAGTTTTCAGGGTAATGAATTTACATTTGGTGGTTAGAATGGCTTTTCTTTTACACATAAATTTCCATCTTATTAATGTTAAAATGTAGGCACACTAATACCCTTTTTCTTATTACTGTACAGAAGAGAATGAGATCTAAATTAACTTAAAGTACAATATAACCATTATCATTTAACAGCTTCTACTCTCAAGATACCTTATCTTTGACCAGGAACTAAGTTCTCCTACATCAGGACTGTCACACCCTAGAGCAGCAAATTGCAATTATATTATATTTGTGAATCAAAGGAGGACATTTCAAGTCCACCCCTCATGGAAAAGCCATTCTTCAGATTAGAAAATGAAAAGAAACATTTGATACAGCACAGCAATGGAAATAAGCCCTCCAGCTGTTGGTAGGAACTTACATTTGATCCAGCCTTCTCACTTCTAGAAGTTCACGTAAAGAACAGCAGAGTGTATAAAGATATATGCACAAAGATTTTTTAAGTTTATTGGGGTGACAATTGTTAGTAAAGTAACATAGGTTTCAGGTGTACAATTCTGTAATAGATTTTCCATATGACATTTTTGTTTTAATAGCCAAAAGTTACAAATAATGTATTCCCTACCAATATGGGAACTGCTTAATATTACAGTTCATTCACACAATGAACTACTCTAACGTCATTAAGAAAGTGTAAGAAAGAAATTCATAGTAAGACAGAATTTTAAATTCACACTTTTTACCCTCTCTCCACTGCTAAAAATATACAGAGATGGTGATAAACTATAACATGAAAAAATAGAGGGTGCCAAAAAAATGTATATACATTTTAAGAAAGGAAAAAATCTGTATTAAAATTGTGACATAATGAATGATGCTAGCATTCATTTGATTAATGCCATCTTTTGAGCTAACGTCATGATACACATTGTTACCGTAATACATAGATAACATGTCTTAAAATGTGTATATTTTTGGCACTATATATATATATATATACATATTTAGATGTGT